CTCTGCAACATCCTTTTGTAAAAATGCAGTTTCTCGCTGTTCATGCTCAGCTAGACTGCAGCTGCAGAAATCACTCTCTTGCTTGTAACTAAGGTCAGATCATTCCTGTCTCTTAATCTCTCTTCTGGTTTCATTTCTGCATCATACCAAACAGAAGCGTCTTTCTTTACTTGCATGGCCAGTAATGACCTGTTCCCATCCTTTTTTCCTCTAGTATTCTCTAGTGACATAACAACTCATCCTTCCTGTCTGCAGGTGTCTATGTTCAATCTTCAAGCACTTGCATTCCCATTTGTACTGTCTTTGTGCTTTCATGAGAAGCATCCCGTTAAACTTCCCTCAAACTCCCTCTGGATCCTCTTTCAAATTCTTCCTTAACTGTTTCCTTTGCTGGACTGTCTAGAGCCTTGTTGTCAATAATAAAACATTTAGAGTGCTGAGACCACAATTTTCCTTGTTGACTGGTTTTGTTTGATTGCTTCTTTGTATTTTCTATCTATACCCAGTTATTGCTTGTATTAGATTGTGAGCTCCTGCAGTCAGGCCCTTCTTTGAATTCTGTGTGAATTCCAGTACCCAGCACAACAGGGCTGTTGTGCAATCTGAGCAGCCAGGATCTGTGATGGTATAAGCAAATACCATGTAATAATAATAATAAAATAATGAAAAATTAGAATGTGGCATCATGTGCAATATGAGCTTCTCCCCTTCCTTCCCCCTCTTCCTTCAGATTTGCAATATTTCAATTTTTTTATACAACAGAAGACAGTAAATGAGGTTTCAGAATAAAGTATAGTAGCTGATGTTTCCTTTTGGCTGCTGAAGTGTTTCCTTGTGATCCACTCAGTAATGATGACATTTCCAGCAGTTTTAGCAGGGAAGCCTCTGTGGGCACCCCTGTATGTCCCCCCAAGGTAAGACCAACATGTGTCAGACAGGCTAGGCTGAAGGAAGGTCACAGCCAAGGTTATGAACCTCTTCCATGCAAAAATAGAGGACTCAATCTCCCAGGCTTCCTGCCAGTGTATCACCTTCTAGTTTTGCTGAAGTGATCTTGGAAAAGGACCTAAAAAGGGCTGAAGGGGCAAAAGAAGAATGTTGAAATGAGTTTCATCTTCTTGCATTTTAGTACTAATTTTGTCTTTTGTCTTTAAGCTGCCTTTTAAGTGCTATTTGTCTCTGTGGGAAGCAAATGGGTCATGTTGTTCTATGTTTCTACTGTAATACGCTGCCTATTTTTCTCTTAGATTATTTGTGTAATCTTTTTTGTGCAATCTGTTTGTTCTTGAGTCTTGCAAGCTTCGCCTTTGCTACTTCTTTCCCAATAAGCAGTGCAACTTGTTCTGTATTCACTCATGGGTATTCTGCACACAACAAACTGGGTTATTTCAACTAGTGTGAAAATATTAAAATGGGGAACATGTGTGGGCACTTAACTGTGATGAGACCAGCCACAAATACCTTCGCCATTGGTAACTGGCACACAGGAAAAGCAAACCTTTGTTCTGTTTTTATCAGATATAATGATAGATACATTGTTTTTAGTGGGGTTTTTTTCTGGTTTTCTAAGGAAATGAGGCTTCTGCAATTGCACTGCTTTGTGCATGTGTCTGTCTGCTTGTCAGTTCCTTCCTCGCCAACAACTCTTGAAACTAATTGCCTATTTCAACCAAATTTGAGTTACGTGCTGGGAGAATTGACCAGCTTTCACAGTTTTGTGAGTTCCCAGGTTGCACCAAGATCTGCAGAAGGTGGAGCCTTTAAGGGCTGCATCATTGTAAGTCAGATCAGTTGTCTATTTGCCCACATGCCTTTGCATGCATCAAGCCATCTACAGTGGCTTACAGTTGTAAGCTCCCAAATTTCCATATTTTGGCTTACTTGCTTTTACCCTTCAGGTGAATGAGTCAGTTGGGGGTGTTGCTGGCAGAGAGTATGTGTTTCAATCCTCACTGGAATGGCCATGTCTCATGAAAAACACGGTTTGCTGAAAGCCACAGTGTTATAATTTGCATATAAATATACAAAAGGAAACTTTCTTTAATCTTTCCTGTGCAAGAGTTTATAGGAGCATTTCTGTCAGTGTACATAATAGCAGAATTTGGACTTCTCATAAATATACAGAGGTTAAGTCTATTGCTGCCTAAATGGGAACCTTCTGTGGAAAAACCCAGAAAGAGGAAGGGAAGCCTAAGGAAACACCACCTTCAAGGGGAGAAGTTGGCCAGGACTTCTGTTGTGATGCTTTTTGGTTTGTACCTGGCCACCAGCAGTGAAGTTGACCTCAAGGCCATGCAGGAATGTAGCCTAAGGGCATCTTTGGAAGGCAGAGAAGTCTTTGCTCAAAGGGAGGGTGGAGTTACAAAGGTCCTAAGTGATTTGCCAGAGATTACAAGAGTATGTATTTGAGTTCAGAAACAGACCCAGGTCTCCTGATGCAAGTACAACCAGAAATACAGTCTACATATAGATAGCTTCTCCAGAAAAATTGAGAGATGCCTTGGTCAAAGAGGAGGATAAATGTTGAAGTATACAAAAGCTGGCTAAATTATGAATGTGAGAAGAGCAGGAGGGGAAGAAAAGATTCCCACATGTTCTTCTCACATGTTAACAAAGAAAGCTGAGAAGTGTTTGCATAGACACTACATTATTCTGTGTCCAAATGCCTCATAAAAATAATACCGGATGATCACAGAATAGCACACCAGGGAAAATAAATTCTTCAGTGGAATATTCCCTCTGGAAAAACACTGTGTAAAGTAATACACTAATGGCTTTCAATTTCATGTTTTATATATAGAGATATTAACTGCTCCCCAGACATCTCTTCATATTACAGCCCAGCTACAAGAGCAGTTTGAAGAAGGCCCTGGAGCACACTCTGTCTTGTCCACACACAGGGCTGATCAGTACTCTCCTGTTGTACATGCAGTATACAGTCTACAGTAGGTTTCCTCTCACTCCTTCCCGAAGCAGTACTGCTCTCTTACTGGTTCTCTCCAGTGGGTTGGTTGTTTTCTTCCTAATCCTCATGGTTTTTCCATTCTTCCCCCATGCTCTGTAGCCTCACCACCATCCTGGGAACCCTGCATTCCTTCTCGACTCATAAAAAAGAGTCCTCACAAGAAGCGTTTCAGTCAAGTTATTAAAGAGCAACATTGTCAATCACAATGCTAATAACAAATGCTAAAGAAAGTTGAGTTTAAATACAACATTATTCATTCCTCTGGGAGGGGTTCCAGGCTCGTGTGGATTTATCTGGTGATTTCTCCCTTCACATTGCTCAGACTGGGAACTGTTTGAGTCAGGAACTGTCTGTCCTGTATAATGCCAACTACGGTTATGCCGTTCTAGCAAATCATAATGATCTGGGTACTTTTCCAAGCTTTCCTAATATATCTCAAATGCGTATATATATCATCCTGCCACATCCTGAGGGATCCAAAAGTAGCTTATATGCTTTGTTCCCTGGATATAGCCTATTGGAGTCTGGGACAGGCAGGGAAGAAGTCGTGAGTGGAGGGACATCAATGGTACACTGCTCAAGGACAGCAGCCCTGCTGTTGAGATGATGAGACATATCCAAGTCCTTTTAGGAAGTTTTGCAGTATTTGACAAAACCAGTAAACACCATGATATTGAGAGAGCCTCATATTGTTGCTGGATTATTTAATTATTATGTGTATATCTGTTTATAAGTAATTCTTACTTTGAACTCAGTCTGCCTTCCTGCTTGCAGGAAGGAAGCTCTCACTTCCGTTCCTCTCCTTCCCACCCTTAGTGACCACACCACTCCACTCACAGAACCTGGAAAAAGAAGTGCCAGGTCCCAAGACTTTGGGCAGCACAATTATTCTCAAACTGCAGAATACCAGTTTGAGTGGGACAAAGACCCAGACTGTGGTTGCTCTATTGCCTTTGGTAGGGCTCTCCTGCATAGAGTGGCTGAGGTTGGCCTACATACCTCCCATGACTCTGCGCATGAATTATTTTCAACACTGATTGCTGGGTATGGGCTATCTCCATTTTCTAGAACTCAGATGAATGGCATGGGAAAATGGCAAAGGTGTGCCTTCCACCCACAGTCTTCCATCATGTCTGCACCACAGTCTTCCCTGAGAAAATGCTTTTCCATGATCTAAGAAACCATCTTTCTCTGAAACTCTGTCTTCACTTTAAATCTGTCTGCCATATAACATCTTCAACAACAATCTGAACAAGGCAGCAAGCCTTTTGTATGTCTTGTGTGCATGCAGATTTTTTTGTGTCTTAAATATTTGTGTGCAACATTAAGGACCTTTTCCAAAAACAGGCAGAGATCTTGTGGCTTGTCTTTACTTAGAGTCCTTACTAGTATTTTCTGATACACCTTTCTTGAAGGATGATAAGAATAAAGTAGCCACAAATCAGTTAAATTGGTTTCTTGAGAAATAGCTTCTGTGCTTTAAATAGGCAAAATATCTTAATCCATATTAATCTTCAAACAGAAAAAAAAAGTAATTAGCTCCATTGAGAGAATTGGTTTAAGCTGTACAAGCAAAAACTACTATTTAAATGGTAACAATTGCACTGCCACCAGGCAGCTTTATGAGGCATCCTACCACAAAATCCTTTCATGTGGGGGCAAGGCTTTAGGCACAGGTTTATCCCATCTGAGGAGCTGAGGACAACTAGATAGCCTGGTTAGATGATAGCTGAATGGTTTGCATTTGGGGCTCAGACTTCATATGATAATCACTGGCTAGCAGCAGCAGTAGAACTGGTATCAATGCAGGCTTGGGAGCCAGTTTCAAGCCTTTCTAGATCTTTTCATGTGGTCCAGCACCAGAGTGACCTTCAGTAGCACTGGATCTTTGCCAGCAGTGGTACAAATTGCTCTTCTGTTGACTGAGCTTCTGTGTCCCACTTACCAATTGGGTGGCACAGGCATGTGGGAGTACCTTTTCTGCAGCTGAGACCAGGAGCTTGTTTTGACTTATGTCCTTTTCCTTTGGTGGCAGGCCGCTGTGCCCGCTGTGGGGAGAATGTTGTTGGAGAAGGGACTGGCTGTACAGCCATGGACCAGGTCTTCCACGTGGAGTGCTTCACCTGCATGAAGTGCAACAGCAAGCTGAGAGGTCAGCCTTTCTATGCAGTGGAGAAGAAAGCCTACTGTGAACCCTGCTATATTGTAAGTATCCATTCTTGTTTGCACCATGATTTTAACACAGAGACATTGGAAACATTGATTTCTTTTACTGCCATACAGTTGCCTTACCATTAAAAACTGACAATCCCATGGCAGTACCGTTGGCATCAGTTTTTCCATGCTCTTCAGAAGAACACTGATCTTTTCAGTTCCCTGGGTGAATTTTGTTTCCTGGTCTAACCTATCTCAGGAATGAAGTGTCCAAAGCAGGGGAAAAAGGTGCTTTTTGTAATTCTTTGAGCTCTGTAATAAGGAACAGACTACATAGTGATCTTAGGCATAAGTGTTGTTTTCAGAAGCTTTCTGTATTGGGAAACCTGAAACCAAAATGCTTACAGACTATGGTGCCCACTAATATTAAGGAGGTGAGATGCAAGGTAGCATTGAAACTTCTAAAAATCAAGACTTTCGCATTGTTTGATGGAAGTCTTTCTACTGAACTAAGGGTCTTTGGATTTGCTATGTTTTCACGCTTACCTTACCCTCAAATTTCATTTCATGCCTATGACAATCTTTTAAAGTGAACAATTAACAGTTGCTCTGAGGAGCTGCACCTTTTAAGAGGCTCCCGTAAGAGCTAGTTGGAACCAGTCACAGAGTTGCAAATTAAAGAAACATCACATAAGGTGCCTGAGGCCTTACCTTGGTGTGACCTTAGCATACAGTATATAGGGATAATAGTTGTAACTTAGAATAAGAAAAGCACTGAAACATTCTTAAAGTGTTGATATCTCTCTCTCGAAATCTCCAATTCACAGTTCTTTTTATAAACACTGGGCCTGAGACAGTTCCAGAATTGGATTTGCACTTCTGAAAATAAAAATTGCTGCCTTTCTTGACTTTTCTGTCATTCTGATAGTAGCTAAAGCAATAATAGGTATGTCTGAAAATGCCACCAATATCCCATTATTCCTTCTGTTTCTGCAGAGCCTTTGATGAAATATGTACAATGGCAGTGATACATGGGCTTTGTTAATTGGCTTTTAAAAACTAAATGATCTTTTGATGGAATATGTACCTTTTAAACCAGTTCCATTTTTGTTTGCACTAAAATAATTGCACTATAAAAAATTTAAGGTTAATTTCGTAGCAAGTTGGACCATGTGCAAAGCACTGCAGGCTTCAGGAAGGTTCATTTATAGTATGATTGGAGCAACTGTATATAACTGGAATTAAACATTTCACTGACTTGAGGCTGGAATTGAGTTTGTCTGCTTGCAGATTGATAGTGTCTTTTCCTCTTTTTCTAAATCAAGCACGCATTCTTCACCACTCATCTGCTTTAGTTTCAGAAAACATCTGCATTAGCCACTATACTAATGGTTTAAGATTATTTAATCCCATTACTTATACACTTCATTAGCCTGAGTGAATTGTTGGCAAGGGTTCAGTAAACTTCCTACACTGAAAGATAAAAGGATACAAAAAGGAAAGGGAGAAGGATTCTGTTCCTTGTTTTCTTTCAAATTTATCTTCTACCTATTTAAGGGATAAAGGAATGGTAATTGCCTGGTTGCATACACGTTTGTACATTCTGTGATACGGCTTTGCAGCTCTAAGTACAGAGGAAAGAGTAAATGTTTAATAGCTTTCTTTTTACATAACCAGAAGGGGCCTTTAAATGTTTATCCATGCAGTCCACAAAAAAAACTTACGGTTATGGACTTAACTCAAAACACATCTGGATCCATCTGCTGCTGCACATGCAGGGGAAAGGATGGCAATGCTGATGGGGCTATGCATGTGTAGCTGGACAGCTGGTACTGTGAAGGGGATATAGAGAGCAGGAATCTGGCAGTCTCATGCAGCAAAGGGAAGAAAAAAAAAAAAAACAATAAAAAAACAAAACCACCACCCAAGCATACATTAAACTCTTAAATGTGGAAGAAACAAGCACTGGGATCCTAAGTCTCAATACCCTTCAGAAAGCTCAGGATCTCTGCTGTGCCGAAAGCCAGCTCTACAAGGGATCTAGGCATCTGCCATGCTATTGGCTTTAGGCCTGAGGAATTTGTGTCATAGAGCATATGTCTCATTGATTTTTCGAAGAAATGAGGTCTGCATTAGCTTCAGTAGGATGATAAGAGCCGAAGTACGCTGAGGGCCTGAACTAGGCTTGCAAGTGGATTGGGGGCCCTTAAATTGCTGAGGCACAATAAGAATGCTTTTGCCTTTAGATGTGTGATGCTGTCATACTGAAGTCAATGAGAGTTAATGACCTGCTTAAAATCAAGCCTGTGCTTAAGGATTTTGCTGAATTGTGGCCTCTGAATTTTATTTCTTTTTTTTGAGCTTCCTCAAATCCCGTTATCAGAAAGTGACTTGTACACTTGAAGCCCTAGTTCTGTAGGAGATCAATGGGGCTGAAGAAACCAGACATAGATTCCTGTGGACCTGAATTCCCATGAAAGGTGGAGCCTGTGTTACTAGACCAAGATTGCACAGCTAATCCATGGCTGTGGCCAGCTGAGAAAACAGAATTGTCAGCTGGTATAAGTCTGAGTAATTTAATGAAGCTTGTTTACTGGTCTACCTAATTCACACTGATTTCTAGCACACATCCCCATTTCCCCAAGTCCCAAATGCTTGACCTATTATGCAAGCCATTAGGCCAAGCTGCTTCCTTTATGTAAGGAAAATGAACTATAGTATTTGCCTGGTCATGACATAAATTCATACATAAATTCATGAATACTTTGATTTTATTTTTTTTTATGATTCCTTTGTGAGACTTGTGTTCTTATGCACAGAAAAACTATGCACAAAAATAAAAGTACACATTTTTCAACAGTTAGAATTGGCTAATCTTCTCAGTTTATTATGTGGCTCTTCTTAGCTGTGGTGGAGTGAAGCCATAATTAAGATTACTGCAAAGAGCTGTATTTAATTACTGGTTAGTCAATACCAAGGCTAAATAGCCTGCAGAAGGGTTTTTTGGTTGTGGTTTGTTTTTGTTTTTTTTTTTGGGGGGGGGGGGGGGGGGGCTTTTTTGGTTGTTTCTGGTTTATCAGTTACCCAGCTAAGATGAAATTCTCCAGAGTCTGAATTAACATTTAAGGAGATCAATCACTGGTTAAATATGCATATATATTTCATATATATTTTCATATATATATATATATATACGCACACATATTTCCTAATGGGAATTTGAGTACCAGAGTTAATTTCTTTCACACAAAATTCCCCTCACCCAAAAGCTAGTCACTGTCATTTCCTGTTACAACTTACGAATCCAGTGAGTTCTTTTGCCAGTGTGTTTGCTGTTTTTTCTCTGCATCCAAGGATTCTTTCATTATTGATGTTATTTCTAAAAGAGTACCAGTCTTCTCTATTAAGACACTTCTGCTGAACTAAAAGCAACTGTAAAAAATAAAGTGTTAATAGGATACAGATGTCTCTTAGTCATTACGACAGTCAAGTAACATCTGAAATAAATATGATAGGGTTTCCAGTGTAACCAGTGTACTGCTGTACACGTGATGAATGCTGTGTCTGCAGTATGTTAGCAGTATACTTTTCCCCACCCTTACAGGGCAAGTTACTGACAAAAAAAACATTTGATTTGCTTCCTCTAAGTAGTCAAAGAGATTTTAGTGCTGAACTCGGTGCAGAGAAAAGGTTAAGAGTAATATCTGTAGAACTGTTGTTATGAAAGATTGAAGAGCAAGATGTTAAAGCAGTGCCAGCTGTCTGCTTTCCAAATACTGTATTATCATAAGGACTGAACACAAGGCTAACCAGACACACCAGTCTGGCAAGAGTGATGCTGCTGTTTTGTGAATGGGATGTTCTTTGATGTCCAGATGACTTTCTCTGGGACATGGAAATTTTCCTCCATTCTTTATCCCCTTTCCTGGCAGGCTGGTGGTTGGAGATAAACTCCCTGAGCTGAGGGCTGATAGGTGCCGAGTATCACCAGTTAGTGCAGAAAGCAAGATCCTGGCCTCTGAGGGTTTCTTCTGTCCTGTCCAAATTGATGTGATCCACCTCTGGGCCTGAGGGTAGGACCATGGTGTGACGGGGAAGGGGATGAGAAAGCAGAAATAACTAACCAAGCAAAGCAGAAATAGCCAGGGACAGATGAAAGGCAAGCTGGGAGAAGTGGTGGGCTAGAAATGATGAGCAATTGAAAGAAAGGAAAGAAACACTCTAGCTAAAGTGGGGGAAGATAGTGGGTATACTCTGCAGTGCCCTATGGAGACCCAGGGATCGAGGTTTCCTTTTTCTGCTGCACACTGCAAGATACAGAGAACATGAACCCAAAGATTACTCACAAAGACTTTGAAGGATAAGGTTCATCTTTCCGTAGTAATAAAGCTGTGGAAGTGCTTCAAGGGGGAAGAACTGTGCCGTGATCACTGCTGTTCCCCAGATTTAAATTTGGGGTCATAGTGCTCCATATTTTTCCCTCTTATGATTTGTTTTGTGAGAAAAAAAAAAAAACAAAGCAAACAGATCTTCAAGATTTCTCTCTTTGACTAGCTTCTAACTTTCTGGCCTATCAGAGTCTGTAGTTCTATAGGAGAAGATAGACCAGAATGCAAGAGAAAGGCTGGTGTTTTAAGAGATGGTGCACCCTCAGAAAGCTTAAATTTCCTATCATTCTGAAATGTTGGTGTTAACTCAATTTGTTCTCATTGAAATCTCTGGTAAAACTGCTATCAGCTTCATTGCAACTGGTACTGTAAACCTCACCCCGTGTGCACACAGGAGCATGGTTGTTTGAAAGCTGTGCAAGAGCAGCTACCTCCAGCACATATGGTTTGAAGTGTAAGGTTGATCCCTGCAGTAAAATTACTTCTATTTTTAAAAATAATTCTGCAATTTGTAAGCAGAGATTACAGCACTAATTTAGCAACCATGTAACAACTTAAATTGGCCCAGAAAAGAGAAACTGTAATTTAAAGATTTTTTTTTTATGATACAAGTTTTCTTCTTTTTAAAGTAAAAAGCCCTTTATTCTTGTTTTTGTCAAGCAA